TTTATTCATTACTTTAATAGGAACATAATTCAAAAAACACTTGAATCAAGTGGCCTAAATTGCAAAAAACCTTTATAGGTAGTTTTTTTTTGATTTTATATTTAAAAAAAAAACTTTTTTAATAGTGAAGGACATTTGAATTATGTCCTTGCCTTTAATTTAGGGACTTATATTTACCCTTTTAAATAATTGTTACTTTTCAATTATCTAATTAGATTTTGTTAAAACAATAAAGAAAAAACCAAACCAGTTCAAACTGGTTTTTCAATATAATAATAATAACAATAACAATTATTATAACAATAAATAACATCAATTATACTCTACTATCTATATTAACAAAAGCAATATCAACAAGTAGCAAGGAATTAGCAAAATGAATTATTAAGCCAAATTAGGAATTCTTTTAAGGACTTTATTTTTATTTATATAGATTTTATAGTTTAAGTAACTTAGTTATAGTTTTAGTAGTTCATGTTATTATAGTCTCAATTTATTTTTTTTTTTTTCAATTTTTCTTTGCTTTTAAATTTTTCTATGTTTAATCAAAAACTCTAAATAAATAAACGTAACTATTATTCAACTATATTTAATATATATAATATTGTTTTAAATTTTTTTTTTGATATTAGCTAAATATAAATATGTAGGCAAGCTAGTATTTAATTTGTTGCATTTTTGCATACAAGAGATATTGTTTTTTTTACCATATATATAACTTTTCAGTATAATATTATTAATAAAAAAATAATGTTTACCTACCAGAAAAAAAAATTATTATATAGGTTAATTTAATATTTGCTAGATTTTTTTCAATAATATATGGTTTTGTAATATAGTTACAAAGTGTAATGGTTTTGTTAGAGAGAATTTGATAGTGTTGATCTTTTATTATTATGTTTGGTATTGAATTTTTCCTTTCTAACTACAATTTATATATAAATATATATATATATAATTAAACTTTTTTTAGTTTTAAATTAAATTTTTTTAAAAAAAACTTACTATTTTATTTTTTACATTCTAAAAATATATCTTTAAAATTTTATAGCAAATAAATATTTATTTATTTATTTATTTATTATTGTTCAAAAATTTTTTAAACAAACTGTATTAGTTTTTTTTAAATAAATATAATACCTAATAATAATTAAAATAATTTAATCTTTTATTAATATATTCTTTATATGTATTTAATTTTTAATATTGACATAAATTTTCAAAATGCAACAATTTGTTAAATATTACTTTGAAGATTTCCTGCAACTTATCACTGGTTATTTTTGTATTATCATTCCTTTCATATTCACTCGTGCAAAAAGTGCTGCGCCATATATGACTTAACCCTGTATTTATGTATTACTAGCTTACATGGAATATTCAAATTTTTGGAATTTTCAAGGTTTTACTAACCATCGCAATTCCACTTATTCCATATAACAATACAAATGGATGAAAAGCCACACGTGTTGATAAATTAATTACACCTCCAGGAAGATGATCTTCTAACTGTTCATTTTTAACCAAATAACCGATCAGAGCAACGATACATAGAGTCGTTGGAATAGGAGTCCCTTCAAAATAACTTATTTTTCCAGATGCATCCTTAGGAATAGATGCAACGGTAGCATTATATCGTGCAAGACGAGCAATCCCACAGGCAATAAAAATTGTAAGAATTATGGTGTCAAGAAACGTACGCATTCCTACAGAAAAGGCGCATACAGCTGGAGCCACACCAAATGATATCTGCCAGAACGCAGAATAAGACGCAAATAGTAAATAGCACAGGGATCGGCCTTAACCAAGTAAAAATAATCATCTACTTGATTGAATACTTACCAGATCCGCTAGTGAATCTAACTCCTGTCCCAATAAGCTAGCTGTTCTCCTCCATCTTGCCACTTTACCATCCATGAGATCAAACATCATCCCTAGCGGCATGAGAATAATACTCGCCCAAAGGAACCATTCGTTTTTTGTAATCACATATTGTATGCTCGAAAAAATGGAGCATGAACCGCATGCACCATTTGCCAAAGTGATAAAATCCGCAAGATGAAAATTTCTAGGAATAATCAATTCATATAAGTTTCAGGAAAGCATTCTATCCTCATTTATGCCATACCTAACCAATGAAAAATGCTTGTAATCATTTACGAAGTGTTTCAATTCAACTTCTGAACTTTGGTTATTTTTTGACTGACTACGTTTCAACATTTTGTCGTGAGTGAAAAATGCCCGCCATCAGTCACATTCATCATATATTTAATAGATTACGTAGATCTTTTTTACTTAATTTGTCTAGGTGTAAAAAAAGAAATTCAGTCATAATTGCCGAATATTTTAAGCTGCCGAATTGAAAAAAAAAAAATTAATTAAAATGGTTTTAATCAGTATGCTTTATTTGTTGATCCGTATATAATATAACAAACAAATACTTGGACGTATATAATAATAATAATAATTTTAAATCAATATATTTAAAAATTTGAATATATTTTTAAGTTTATTCTTTTATTCTATTTATTTATAAATTGATATACTGTATATATATACTGTATATACAGTGTGGTGCAAAAAAAATCAGAATTATATATTTACTTATAATTTAATAACTAATTAATCAAATTATATAAAACTTTATAAAT